CCCCCCCCTCCCACACACACACACGTTGGGATATACAACTGTGGGTGACATTAAAAACTGGCCATACATGGCTTTTCAAGTGCTATATGACTACACCGAAACCTTGATTATCTGCTTGTAAAATTACAAAATTTATCTTCCATGATACTGCTAGCTGTGTTAAGCTTGAGTAAGGACTGAAGCACTGAATTTTAGTGAGGTTAAGCACTGAATTTTAATAAGATTGCTTTTCTATTTGGTAAGCTTTTGGTGCGGCTCTTGCTAATGCTAGCCTGATGAGCCTTCTCCATTGTAGAAACTGAGGTAGAAAAACCTTTTATAGTACTACATGAATCATTGCTTCAGACACAGAAATTTATTCCTGAATATTTGAGCCAATCATAATACATAGTTTTAAAGAATCCTCCCCATTTTTTAAAGGATTCTCAGATCAAAATATTTTTCATATTTTTTATTTCATATTGAAAGGAAGATTTTTCTCTGTGCTGGAATTTTTTTTTTGTGATATTTACTTGAATTCGGAGAAAACTTCTTTCAGTTTTAGTTGTCCAAGAGTTAATTACCTACCTCCCTTTAAATCTGTTTTTTTTCTATTACATTCAGATTTTAAAATATGCAAGTTGTTGTTATTTGAATTTTGCTCACCATTTCTTGGCTTAATTTTTTAAAACGGAACCATAGAGAGTGGTAAAGGAAATCCTATGGTCCCTCTGGAATTCATTTCACAGCTTTTAGACAGAACAAATCTGATATGTTGTGTAATGGTTTTGATTAGCATCTCCAAGAATCTAAATACAGGACATTTTGGAGAAAATTTTGTACTAGTCATCTTTTTTAAAAAATAGGATATTACTAAAAACACTAATAAAAACTCTTAATGGAGGACAGATACAAATATATTTGATCTTATGTGTTCTGAAGTTATTACACAACTAATGAAGTATTTATTTGCAATATTTTATCTTTTAATGCCGATATTTACCAAATGTGTAGTGCATGTCTAAACAATTTTTAACAAAATGTTAAGGAAACAGGGAAAAACGCATTTTTTTTTCTTAGTTTGACCATTATTATCTTTGTCATACCCTGCAAAAGTATGTAAAATGCCCGGTAGCAAGTGAAAGCAGAAGGGTTAAATTCAATACTTTAATTTTGTTTTATTTTTTAATTTATTTAATTTTCCTTAAACAGTCATAAATGCTAAATGTATTTTGAAAAACAATTTTAAAGGGCAAAATAACTATATTTAATTCAGCTATTTTTTCACTTTCCTTTATGATTTAATTGTTGCACATAAGTTATTCTGATGCATAATGAGAACAAAGGATTTGAAAGCACTCTGAAATCTTCCCTTTTTTCTTTTAAATATAAAATATTTATATTATTTCAGACTAGTAAAAAAAAGCTCATCAGAAAATATTTTGAAATCATTTTTAAAAATATATAACTGCTTTGTCATATTGGCCTGTTTTGCAACTAATTCTTTTGGAAGGCAATTCTATATAAAAATCTCTTTTAAATCTGTACATTGGGAAGTGTCAGTGCTCTGGGTAAAAATACATCTTACTACTTTTTCTTGTCATATATCCCTCGTGGTAATCTGTGTCTTAATAAATGATATATAATTATTTTAAATTGAGAGGAATACCACTTATACCTAAAATGATTGCCAAATGTTTCCATTATTATACTTATTAGAAAATTCTCTTATAACTTAATTGACTACGGTAGATATCTTTAAGAAATCATCCACACCCTTTCCCTTGGGGACAACATAGATTGCTTGTTGAAATACTATCTTTTCTCATTATTTTGAAAGAAAATGTTGGCATTCTTTGGACACTTCAAGCCATGCAGAAAGATAGATGTGTAATGAAGGGTTTCTTTACCCCATACTGCAAGTCTTTGAACAAAGGCAGAGGAATGGAATGGAAATATAAATGTGTATGATACAAAAATAATAACTTGTTAGATGTTACATAAGATTCCATTCACTGGCATCTTAGACCTTACATATGTATAAATTGTATAAGCAAAGTGCCGGAAAACCACATTTTATATTCTTCCAGATAAGGTAGTGTCTTAATTTTTTTAAAAAAATGTTAGGGAGGAGGAAAATAAGGTTTTTGTTTTGTTTTATTTTGTTTTTATGACCATTACTATCGTTATCATATACTGCAAAGGTACATAAAGTTTACCCAGTAGTGTAGATACTTGTGTAATTTATCCACAGGTCTAAGGCCTTTTTTCCTGCTTGGCCATATGGCATTGCATTCCACGTATCTGAAAGCTTATATCTGATAATATAATTATTGTGGAGAAACTGGGTCTGTGTGGATCACCTCTTGAATTGTGCTCCCACCACCCAGGTTGCATTGTTTTTAGTGACATTGAGAAATGTATGGAGAGTACATGGATAACAGTGGCTTTGGAGAACTGGAGTGACTAAAAGCTTCGCCCATCCTTTTCTTTTATTAAAAAGTATTTTGTTTTCTAGTCAGTTCCTAATAGCAACTTTTAGACCATAGCATGGAGAATTTCAGGACAAAGAGTTAATTTTAGTAAATATATATATTCCAATGTTTTGCTTGCTCTTTTTTGAATTTTTTGTCTCAGAGATAGGTTTTTTTTTTTTTAAGGATAGCCATTAACTCTTAAGAATTTACATTATCTTGTATCTTAATAGGGTCTGTTTTTTTTTTCTTTTTAAGTGACCACTTTTTGTTGTTCTGGGGTCACACCCAGCAACACCCAGAGGTTACTCCTGGTTCTACACTCAGGAATTACTCCTGGAAATGCTCTGGGGACCATGTGGGATGTTGGGGATAGAATGAGGGTCAGCTAAGTTCAACGCAAGCTCCCTACCCAATGTACTATTAGTCCAGCCCATGACCACTTTTTATATAAAAAAAAAAATCCTAAATAATTTTGGGCATTGAGAGGAGAAGGAGCTGGATAGTTAGATAAGTAATTTTCTTGGGAATGACTATTGTCAAGTCTTTATGTGATTGTCCTGCAATTATGAAAGCCAGCCATCATCATGAGAGAGCCCAGGAAACTAGGAATTAGAAATACTTCAGTAATGTTGAGTACCTACTCTGTGTCAGTCTACACATATGACACTTCCTTTTGTTCATTTAGTTATCTAACTTTACTTAAGAAAATAAAGCCTTACATAAGGTGTAAAGAAAATATCTTGAACTCTGTTGTGAATGTCTTCATGAATATTCTTAAAAGGCCTCAAATTGTATTTCTCCCCCAACGGGTCATAGCAAGATGTGCTGAGTAGGAAAGCAAACACATTTCATTTTATATAGTACATGATGTGGATTTCTAAAATATACATGGGATGGAGTGATAATGCAGTGGGTTACAGGAAACTGTTCAGCAGTCTTTTATTGCTCTTTCTCAGTATTTTTGTTGATTTTTTTTTAATTTTTGTTTTGGGGCTACATCCAGTGGTGCTTAGGGCTTTCTCTTGCCTTACTTGTGACTCTGGTGCTCAGGGGTCATCCTGATAGGCTCAGGGGACCGTACGTGGTGCTGGGCAATCTAACTTGGGTTGACTGCATGCAAGGCAAGTGCCCTACCTGCTCTACTACCTGCTCTACTCCAGGCCTTATGTGGATAAATTCTTTCACGTAATGCAGGGAACTAGTAAAATTATCTTGTTAATACTCTTTGATATTAATTATGCAGAGAAGAAAAAAAGTTTTAGACTCCCACAAGCTAAATGTTGAATTAGAGTTACATTTCAACTATTACTGAATGATAAGCTCACTACTCTTCAGACTAAATGAGAATTTATGATAAAATTCAAAATTCTAAATATTAGAATCAATTGTGACTTTTTTCAAGTGTTTAAGACTAGTTACTTATGTAAAGTAAAAAATAAATCTGTAAAGCAACTACTAAGATGTATTAGGCCTGTTTGGATCAAAAGAGGACAGCTTAGGGAGCCGTAAATGGAGGGAAAACATGAGGTCTTTTAGAAGTCCAGTGGTATTCAGGACTTATTCATGATTACTTCTGGTGGGAATTGGGGGACCATGTAGGATGGTGGGGATCAAATCCAGGTCAGCCAAGTGCAAGACCTGCTGTACTACCTCTCGAGCCGCCCCACGTCTTTTAGAGTTTTGAATTTTGGTAAGGCCATTTGAAGGTGGTAGCTTAATTCTGATCTTTCTTTGAATAGTCGCAATAATATCAGTAAATGTGAAGTAAATGAGGTAGAGTATTATTGAGGTAACATGCTTACAAGTGGTGTTAATATATATGATATCGGTATTCAGGGTTGCTGTATCATGCCCACCACCAAAATACCAATATTTCTCCTTCATTGTCCCTAGGTGAGGTAGGGTACTTAAAATTCATCTGTTTCAGGTTTATATAATTTAGAGATGAAACTATGTGGATACCGAGAACCAATGTTATATGCCCTAGCTTGGAATAAACTTTTAAATGAAATAGTATATATTAAGAGTCAAAGATAACTACTTAATAATTTAAAAAAAGGATTAAATCTATGCCCCGTGTGCATGTTTGTGTGTGTAGACATAGATATAGATAAAGATATGTTTCTGCACATGACAAATTGACTGATTAAAAAATACCATATTTTAAAATCTGACAACACTTTTGTTTTCCTATAATTTTTCATTTCTAAGCACTAATAAAGTACCTTAAATTTTTAATTTAATTTTTCTTTTCCCTTAATATCCATGAGTGTCTCAATCTGTGATATTCAGTGTTGTAACTATTAGCCATATGTGACTATTTAAGTTTAAATTAATTAAAATTAAATAAGATTTCAAGTTCAGTTTCTTATATGACTGTTACTTTTCAAGTGCTTAATTGTCACAGATGACTAGTAGCTACTATATTGTCGAGACAATTAAAAACCCCAGGGGTGTATATTTTTAATATCTTAAAGGTATACTTATGTTATCTCAGTTAAATGTTCCTCTCCTATTGTTCAATTTTGTCTTTCTGTTTTTCAGTTTAAAAGGATGCTTAATCGGGAGCTCACCCATCTCTCTGAAATGAGTCGATCTGGAAATCAGGTGTCAGAATATATCTCAAGCACATTCTTAGGTGAGAATAACAAAGTGCATTTGGGGTTAATTATTTTTTTTGGGGGGGAGATAGACTGGTATTGTTTTCATTCATCATGTTAATATGTTGAGCCACTAAACCTTCAAATCTAAGATGATAAAATTCCTTTTTTTAATCTTTCAGTTTTATTTAGGATTTTAGGGGTTGTCTGAATTAAAGGTGTATGTATCCAGTTTTTTCAAAAGTTGTATAGGGAGGGGCTGGAGCAATAGTACAGTGGGTATGGCGTTTGCCTTGCACGTGGCCAACCCGGGTTCGATTCCCAACATCCCATATGGTCCCCTGAGCAACGCCAGGAGTAATTCCTGAGTGCAAAGCCAGTAGTAACCCCTGTGCATCGCCAGGTGTGACCCAAAAAGCAAAAAAAAAAAAAAAAAAAAAGTTGTATAGGGAGATCTGTGTATACATTCGACGAATCCTTGTCAAATTTGATCCATGATAGATAGATGCTATATTTTGAATGATTCATTAGATAGACGTGGTCCCTGCCCTAAGAAGATTGATTATCTGGTGGATGAAACTTGATGATAACAAGAGTATGTTGTTTTCAGACTCATGTAACTCCCACCCCCACATTCCAAAAAATTGCTGTAAGTGACTAACATGAACATAGCCTTGATTTGGATTTACTTTCAAAGTGAAGTTTCTGTAATATCAAATTAGCATGTTCACAAAGTATATGTTTGATGAACATATGATATAAGGATGAGTTTGAGGAGCTCATTCCTTGAAATAGTGGGCGAATGTACTGAGATGACTTTTGTTTGAAAAGAATAGCTTTTGTGAATCTAATATTTACTAACCAGATAATAGAGAATCCTCACTGCTCCCCTGTTACATCATATCATTCATCCCACAATAAGCAGAGAAAATACAAAATAGAAGAAACTATCATAATATATCCCATTTCAGTAAGCAGCTAGGGTCATACATTCATGTTTTTACAATTTGTGTGTGAAGTTTCTACCATTTCAAAGTATGTTTTGAAAGTGGACTTTTTAGTAGATAAGAAAAGAGTTTTTAAGCCATTGAGTCTCAAATAGGAATAGAGTTGATGAATTGTAAAAAAATAACCAATGTGCATTACTGTTTTTTTTCAAGTCTTAGAAAATACTCATCTAGGGTACTGTTGAAGAAGTAACAACTGGACCTTTAGGTGTTAACTTTTGTGTTGGAGGGCCTCATACTAAGTTCATTTTAAATCATAAATATTCAACTTTCCTAAAAGGAGTCTTATTCTAAAAATGTTCTGTAATATATAATGACCAATTAGAACATGACTAGTTGTGGGGGGCAGGTATGTGGCTTCAGCAGTTGAGCACGGGGTTTCAAGCCCCATCCACTTCATTGTAGAGTATGGCCTCTGTATCTCCAGAAATAAAATACTAAGTTCAGCTATATGTGTTATCATTTATTTTTATAAAAATGGGCAGAGCCATAGTACAGTGGGTAGGACATTTGTCTTGCGCATGGCTTACCTGGGCCTGCTCCCTGGCACACCATATGCTCCCCTGAGCCTGCCAGGAGTAAGTCCTGAGCACAGATGATTGTGGCCCAAAACCAAAAAAAATCAATCAATTAATTACAATTATTTTTAAGACCTGTTTTAACCAGTGAATACATAATTGTAAAATATTGTCTTAATTTCTTAGATAAGCAACATGAAGTGGAAATTCCCTCTCCTACTCAAAAGGAGAAGGAAAAAAAGAAAAGGCCAATGTCTCAGATCAGCGGGGTGAAGAAGTTGATGCACAGCTCAAGCTTGACTAATTCAAGTATCCCAAGGTTTGGGGTTAAAACGGAACAAGAAGATGTGCTTGCGAAGGTGAGATGATTTCAAGGATTGAAAGGATTGTGATCATTAACAGTCAGAGGTGCCTTTCAATGGCCCCTCCTTCTTTTACATATATGGGCATGTTCAGTAATTTGTGGGTTATTTGGTCATTGTTTGTTTTGCTTTTGAAAATGTGAAAACATTTCTTAATTTTTGGATTTTGATTTTATTAACATGTGGACTTAGATAGCTTCACTTGATGTATGCATTCTTTATTTTTGCTTGGGTGTTGTATTGTTTGACCTTAAAGAGTCAGCACTATTACATCTTCTGGATGAATAGATTTTATCATTGAAGAAATGCTTTGAAGTTGATATCTATACCTGTAAATACGGTTTCAAAGGCATAAACTTAAATACCAGTATTATTCAGTTTTTTGTGCATTCTGTATATTTACATGGGTGGAGCGATAGCACAGCGGTAGGGGTTTGCCTTACAAGCGGCGAACATGGCCGACCTGAGTTCGATTCCTCCGCCCCTCTCGGAGAGCCCGGCAAGCTACCGAGAGTATTCGATATGCCAGACACAGTAACAACAAAGTCTCCAATGGAGACGTTACTGGGCCCGCTCGAGCAAATCGATGAACAACGGGAGGACCATGACCGTGACTGTATTTACATAAAGTTTACAATGAATACCTCTTTAAAAATGTAACAGTCTTTATAAAAGTGAGTGATTTTTAAATGGCTATTCTTTCATTTTTCACTGCCACTTCTATTTTTTCTCTTTAACTTCAGGAACTAGAAGATGTGAACAAATGGGGTCTTCATGTTTTCAGAATAGCAGAGTTGTCTGGTAACCGACCTTTGACTGTTATCATGCACACCATTTTTCAGGTAACCTGATTTACCTTGTTTATCTATCTTTAAAAAAAAATGGTGACAAAATGTCTAGTCTGTATGTGGTGTTATTTTGCACGTGTGTACATGGTACAGGGGATCACCCTATATTGTGTATATATTTAAATCTTTTTAACTAATCACCTTCTTTTTATTAATTTTCCCCCTTATTTGCCCCTTTACCAGGACATTTAGAAAGTTGGTTTTTTTGAGCCCGGCAAGCTACCGAGAGTATTCGATATGCCAGACACAGTAACAAAGTCTCGAGCAAAAAAATTTTTTTAATAGTGAGACATCATGATGTACAGTTGTAGACTTATACATTTTTGTGCTTAGGTTCCAATTATACAGTGATCAAATACCATCCCTCCACCAGTGCCCATTCTCCACCCCCACCAGTCCCAGTATCCCTCCCATTGCCCATCCCCCCATCCCACCCTGGCTCTGTGGCAGGGCATTCCCCTCTGTTCTCTCTCTCCTTTTGGGTGTTGTGGTTTGCAAAAGAGGCATTGCGTGACAATCACGTTTGGTCTACAGTCTACTTAGAAAGTTCTTTTTAAATTATCTGTAAAGTTTTATATCTAGAAGGTTATTTTCTTTTCCCTATTTACCCCTTTACCAGAGAATCTGGAAGGTTGAAGTGTGGGTGAAAAGTAAATAAACCAACTTTTTTTTCTTAAATGAAAAACATGATTTAGGAAAATTGAAGGACTTTATTAAAATAATACTTTATATAATCATTCACATGGTCTTGCCTTCCATAGGGAAAGGAATGCTAGCTGAAAATTTAATGAGGTCCCCGCTGAGTAACTTAGGATGTATTTTCTCTATCACTGTTTCCTGTATTACTCTCTTCTCCATAAAGCATCTGTCACTTGCTTTTGCTCTAGCCTCAGGTTAGGATTTAAATAAGAAATTGAGTCTTCTTATTTATGTTCTATGGACAGGCAGCTCTGTCCCTAGAGAGAATGGAGTGTTCCAATGGTGTGATACAGTGACTGAGACAGTGGCACTGCATGGCTTTTCCTGATCACAGGGCATAAAACACTTTACAGTTGTGACTCATTTCTGACACCTTACATTTTAGATAAAGCACCATTGAACTCCAGAGAACACCTAGACTTGTTCATTTCCTGAAGTCCTTGGGTCTTCCCAAAGTTTTCATTTCCCTCACTAGACATTGTGAAGTGCTCTTTTCCGTTTTATAAGTTGCACTGAGTTTGAATTTTTTTTTTCCACAAACTGAAAAATCTTGCTGTAGAAGGACAAAGCCTGAAGCAGATTAATTTCTTTTCCTACAGGAACGGGATTTATTAAAAACATTTAAAATTCCAGTAGACACTTTAATCACATACCTGATGACCTTGGAAGACCATTACCATGCAGATGTAGCCTACCACAACAATATCCACGCTGCAGATGTAGTCCAGTCAACACATGTGCTGTTGTCTACACCTGCTTTGGAGGTAAATTGGATTTCTACAGCTTCAAGAACACTAGCTTGTTACTCATAAAGATCTCTTAATCTTTCATACTAAAGAGTGGATAGTGCAGAAAGGAATTGACGTCATTGTAAATATGTTGGTAATGAAAGAACAGTTGAGTCTAATTTTCATCACAAATTCAGCATTTCATTGGTTTGTGAAACTGCTGCTTTGAAATGATTCAGTAGGCCACCCATAAAGCACATCTGTTTCATTCCATCTTGTTAGTTGGGTTTTTTCTTTTTTTTTTTTTTTTTAAGTCTAGTTAATTTTGTATTTATTGTTTAAGGGGTCATTATTATTTATAAAATTTAGCCAGTATATTCTTTATGAATATATTAGAAATGCATAGTCAGTTTTATCAAGTCTTAGACATTTTTCCATTACATGTATATTAAGACAGTTTGTTTTCCTAATCTGTTGAAGGAAAGATTCTTTTTTGCTCTTTTGCTAATTTATTTATTTTATACCTTAGATTTTTGTTGTTGTTGTATGTTTTTTTTCCTCTTTTGGTAAAATTTTATTTCCTCATTTGAAGGAGTGGTTCTCTACTGGGACTCATTCCTTGTCCAGTTTCCGTCCTCCACCCACTCCCCAGGAACATGGGTACTATGTGGAGACATTTTTGGCTATTACAATTGGGAATATATGTTTCTGGCATCTCATGGGAAGAAGCCAGATTCTTACTAAAAATCTTAGAATGCATAGGATAGCTTCATAGATCATCTACCTTAAGATGTCAGTTCTCGGTTGGGAGTAATAGTACAATGGGTAGGACACTAGCCGTGCACATGGCCAACCTGTGTTCAGTACCCAGAATCCCATGTGGTCCCTGTGCCCCACAGGAGTAATTCCTGAGCACAGAGCCAGGTGTAACCCCTGAGATGGTCAGATGTGGTCCAAAAACAAATTCCCAAAATTTCAGTTCTTCTGATGTTTTAAAAGCATCGGGTTGACAGAAAGAAAAGAATTGCATCTTTAACACTTAAGATAGCTGTTTTCTTTAGAAAGGAATTTCAAATAATCCCTTGGTAATTTTGCTTTAAAAAATGAACCAGTGAGAAAAAAAAATAAATAAAGTGCATATGCAGGTTTTCCTTAAAAAAAAAATGAACCAGTGAAAAAGTTTTAGTCATGAGTTTTAAGTAGATAAAAATATTTTCTTTATAAGAGTTCATGAGTAGCTCAGTTTTCTGAAAGTCTTCCTTTCTGAAACATTATGGGCAGAGAATTTGAAGAGTTTATGTAGTTTACATCAAATTCTAGGAAGTAATTTCCCATTTGCTTGTACCTTAATTTCATAGGATAGCAGTGTGACCTGTGTTGTCTATTGTTGCAGGCTGTGTTTACAGATTTAGAAATTCTGGCAGCAATTTTTGCCAGTGCAATACACGACGTAGATCATCCTGGTGTGTCAAATCAGTTTCTGATCAATACAAGTAAGTGGAATTAATTTATTTTTGTAGAATCAATTTTCCTTTGTATATTTTCTTTTAAATATTGTATGTTCACAGAACTTTGCCACAAGTATTTTCACTGCATTACCTAATTGTTTGTGAAGCAGTTTTTCTATAAAAAAAAAAGAGAATAATTGGTTTGAGTGGACAGTTTCAAGTTTCGTGTATTATAAATCTTAATCTTGCTTTATATTTTATAAATATTAGCCCTCATAATGTCTAAAATAGTGAATGATGGAAACTGTGTATATAGACTTGATAGAATATATAGTAATAAAACCTAACAAAAATTTTGGAGCCGGAATGATAGTACAGTGGGTAGGGAATTTGCCTTACACGTGGCTGACTTGGGTTCAATCCCCTCAATCCTCAGCATCCCATATGGTCCTCCAAGCACTGCCAGGAGTAACTCTTGAGTGCAGAGCCAGGAGTAATCCCTGAGCATCTCTGGGTGTGACACAAAAAGCAAAATAAATAAATAAAGTTTTTTTTTTTAAAAAAACATGTTTGTTTGCAAAGTCTCCAATAAGTATAGTCAATCCATCGAAACCTAAAGTTTCCCAGCTAATGGAGGCTTGAGCAAATAGCTGACTCCGATTTGATACCCTGCACCACATATAGCCCTGAGTGCAGAGCCAGGAGTAAGTCTTGAACATTACTGGGTGTGACACAAAAACAAAAAAAAATATGCTCTGCCCTCCCCTTTTTTTGGACTACGAGTTACATACTAGCTTTCTCATGCCCTGCAGAAATACAGTTTACCAATTTTACCTGTGCTTCATTCCACTCAGATTTTTTTTTTAATTTTTAATTTTTCTTTTCTTTTTGGGTCACACCCATCGATGCACCGGGGTTATTTTTGACTTTGCACTCAGGAATTACTCCTGGCAGTGCTCAGGGGACCACATGGGATGCTGGGAATTGAACCGAGGCCGGCCGCGTGTAAGGCAAACATCGTACGCACTGTACTATCGCTCCATCCCCTCCAGTCAGATTTAAAGCAAGCTTAAATGTAACCTTGCTTCAAGAATTTAATTCCTATTTGTGATCACTTATAGCATTTTTTACTTTTCTGTCTTTTAATAACCTCTGGCTGACTGTCTCTCCAGTGACTCAGATGTGTAGGAGAATTAGGAAAGTCATGGATTCCCTGAGATGCATGGCTGGTCAACTGTAGAAGTTTGGTTTATGAACTTAGTCACTCAGGATAAGGGAAGATTATATTTCATGTTGCAGCTTCATCATTAGAACCTATAATGGAGTACATTCAAAATTTATCAAGGCATTATTGACTATTAACAAATATTAATACATGAGCTACAACTGCATGATTTTACATTCTGTCCCTTGTGAGGGTTAACTCTCATTTCCAGGAAGAGCAGTGATGTATTGTGTGCTGGCACTTTTGATAAACCTGACTTGATTCATTACTTTAACATTTAAGCATGTCTGATTATTACTGATTTTATATATTTTTAACAAATACACACGTTTTGTTTTAGTTTAGTTTTTGCTTTTTAAGAAAGTTGTATATTGGGTTGGAGAGATAGTACCATGGGTAGGGTACTTGCCTTGTATATAGCTGAACCCAGGTTCAACCCCTGGTACCCCATATGGTTCCTCAGAGCCTGCCAGAAGTAATCCCTGAGCTCAGAGGCAGGAGTAAGCCCTGTGACCTCAAGGTATGACTCCCTAAACCCAAAAAAACAAATAAGAAAGTTGTGTGTGTGTGTATACATATATATACATAGCACAGCGGTAGGGCGTTCGCCTTACAAGCGGCCAACATGGCCGACCTGAGTTCAATTCCTCCGCCCCTCTCGGAGAGCCCGGCAAGCTACCGAGAGTATTCGATATGCCAGACACAGTAACAACAAAGTCTCCAATGGAGACGTTACTGGGCCCGCTCGAGCAAATCGACGATCAACGGGAGGGCCTTTACCTTTACATGTATTTTAATATCGCTCAAAAATTCAGTGTGGTATGTTTTCATTGCATCCTGTTATATACAATAGTGTATGTTCTTTCAGTCTAGCATTAGAACTAAGGATTGGGTAGTGAACAAGTTAAAACCATTTCCCCATTATAAGCAGAAACATTTTTATTCAGAAGTGCTTGGGGAAAGCAGATTTCAGGCACATGAAATAATATAGTTTTTCATTTCATGAAAAGGACTGTAAGTCTCTGAGAGGAGTGGGAGGTCTTTGGGAGGGACTGATCAGACTTGCATAGAGGCCAGGGAGATAGTACACAGCATTAGAGTCTTCCTTGTATGCAGCAGACCTGGTTCTATCCCACACTGCATATAATACCCTGAGTACCTCAGGGTGTGGTGCAAAACATACACAGAAAAAAGACAAATACAGTGGAATATGATCAAAGCCTAATGGGTAGTACAAAATATATTGGAGTTTGCAAGAGACAGTGAGCAGTTCTGCCCTTGGTAATAAAGATATGCTTCATAAAAGAGATGACTTAATAACCTTGAAGATAAAGAACTTTCAACAGAAATGTTACATAAACTCTCCTCTTTTCCCCTCCACTTCCGTACCCAGAGTAGAGTCTGGTTACTTCTGCACTTCCAAGGAATGTATTGGGATTAACATCTGTGCAAAAAATCTACTTTTAAATTTAAAAAATCTGCTGAATTTTACTTCCCCATTTTAGATGTTATCTCATGCCTTTAATCCTAGAGAAGAATAGAAAGCTAAATGACTATCCTGAGTTTAAGTTGTTTAAAAGCTAGTATTCATTGATCTAAAAATCAAGAGTCACTACTATTTTCCAGTAACAGCCCCCAGAGATTGGAGAGACAGTGGAAACCAACCAATTCAATAAGGGATTTTTTTGTGGCCTTTCTAGCCAATCTGTGCTTCTCTTAAATGTCAGGCCCTAACTACTTTTCTTTCCAAGGCCTGCTGGCCCAGGGCTCTAGCTCTTGGATATACCGCCCTGCAGGAAAGGTTACCTTGTTGAGAAGAATTCACTTTTTAAAATAACACCTCTATATTCTTTTGGAAGGTTCTGTAGCCTTAATTACCTTTATATTTCTTCATGGATATATAAACCAGTCCAGGTTTTTATAATCTATGTTTTTTTCTATTACTTCACCTATCTGCGTACTCTCCTTAAATAACTCCAATAAATTTATCCAATTAGAAATTATTTCATTTCAATGTACGTTTATTTAATGATTCTACCCCTGACGTATTCAATATGCCAAACACAGTAACAAGTCTCACAATGTTACTGGGCCCACTCGAGCACATCAATGAACAGTGGGAGGACAGTGACAGTGACAGTGACAGTGATGATAGAAATACCACTGTACTAAATCCCATATTTTTTGTTTTTGTTTGTTTACTTATAGATAAATGTTCAGTTTAGAGGCTATAGAAATCTATAACACCCATACTTAACTAAAAGCTACCTTTACAGATTTTTGAATTTCTGAATAACTTTCTCGTTTTCTAATGACTAATTTCCTTATATTAAAAAAAGCACTTTTGGAGTCGGAGAAATAGTACAGTGGATAAGATGCTTGCAAAGTCAAAAATAAATAAAATGAATCAAGAGAAGCACTAATGTGATCCTAGATGAGGGAATGCAGGGGGATACCCAGATCACCTTTGACCCTGTGTATAAGGAGGAGTGGTCAAAGAAGAAAAGAAATCAAAAGAGGAAGCCAAGATGATAAAGGATAGTAACTGGTGGAGGGATGGGTACTTGATCATTGTATAACTGAAACCCAAGCACAAAAATTTGTAAGTCTTCAGCAGTACCTCATGATGTTTCACTAATAAAATTTTTAAAAGAATAAAAAAATGATAGTAACAGGGGAGGAGGGGTGAAGGGCCTTGAATGTATCAGTAATGTGGGAGAATGGTATAGCTGTATATCCAAACCGTTGAGTCAACAACACTGAAACATGAGATCCAAACTGTTAACAAACTTTGTATTGTGACTGTCAGCACCTCAACAGGCTAGAAAGGGTGGGAGGGAACTTGGGAATATTGGTGGAGGGAAGCTGACGTTGGTGGTGGGATTGATCTTCAAACATTGTATGTCTAAAACTCAGTGATTAATAGCTTTGTAAGTCATGCTTTTTAAATAAAATTAAATTTTGGTTTTGTTTTTGTTTTGGGATTACACCCAGAGATGCTCAGGACTTACTTCTGGGTCTGACTCAGGTATTACTCCTGGCGGGCTCAGGGGATTATATAGGATGCCAGGGATCCAACTTTGGTTGGTCATGTGCAAGGCATACACCCACCCCGTTGTACTATGTCTCTGACATCTAAAAAAAAAAAGTTAAAGAACAGTTGGTCTCTGAGTATGAAGAATAAGATGGATTTAGAATATTACTAATCTGTATTTTCTTTTAAGACTCTGAACTTGCCTTGATGTACAATGATTCTTCTGTCTTGGAAAACCATCATTTGGCTGTGGGCTTTAAGTTGCTTCAGGAAGAAAACTGTGACATTTTCCAGAATTTGACCAAAAAGCAAAGACAATCATTGAGGAAAATGGTCATTGATATCGTAAGTAGCTGATAAAAACAAAGATGAGAATTGTAATACAAGTTGTTTTCTAGAAAAGGAGATGAGTATCAGATATCGCAGTGTTCTATTCCAGAACACCTCGTCATTTTGTCATGTTAGAGAGGCTGCCCCTGCTGCTGGCAGAGAGACTCCGGAACGGGGAGTCTAGTTCCAGCGGTCGGATTTACTGGGAGTGGCTACCTTATACTCAGTCATTCTAGTTTTGTTTTCTGAACTCCCCCAGTTTTCTGGAAGGCAAGGTAACTGACAAAAAAGTAGAGGGTGCTGGCCAGAGCTTGAATAGATTTTCTTTGCATTCAAAAATGGCCAATCTTCCCAGTAGGCCAGGCTGCTTCAAAACCCCATGACTATCACTCTTTTCTCTCTGCATAGTACTCACAGTGATTATGAGGCACAGGAAGGACTATCTCTGGTTATTACCGACTTAACTCTGTTAAGCCATGTACATACAAAGGTCAGAATTACCTGTCTTGCATAAGCTGAAAATTAACTGGAAAATTCTGTTTCGGACACACTCTGTGAACACCCTTGAGTCAGTTCATCATCATTAAGGTCTTTGTAGTGAAAAGCATGAAAAAAAACTACAGAACAATCTTTTCCACAGAGATATTCATGTTGTTTTGTTTTTTTTTTTGTTTGCTTATTTTTTTCCACTGTGAAAGTGGTTGTTAGTGCCCAGTATTTCTGGATGTTGCACAGAAAACTTGACAGCACAGGGAGAAAAACTGACCCAATCGATAGTAAAGAATTTTCATTTTGTGTGATTAGCTGATAATTCTGTTCTTCTCACATTTGGCCTGATATTTTTATATGCAAATTCTTTTTCCTCTGGATTTTTTTTTTCATTTACAAAACCGTCTTAATCTTTTAAGGTTCTTGCAACAGACATGTCAAAACACATGAATCTACTGGCTGATTTGAAAACTATGGTTGAAACTAAGAAAGTGACAAGTTCTGGAGTTCTTCTTCTTGATAATTATTCTGATAGGATTCAGGTAAAACATCATCTGGATTTGTTCTTTGTGTGTGTACATGTTTGTGTATGTTTCCATGTCTCTGTCACTGTCCTCCCATTTTTCATCGATTTGCTCAAGCGGGTCCAGTAACATTGTGAGACTTGTTACTGTGTTTGGCATATCGAATATGTCACGGGTTGCTTGCCAGGCTTTACCGTGCAGGCAAGATACTCTCAGTAGCTTGCCAGGCTCTCCGAGAGGGCAGGAGGAATCGAACTTGGGTCAGCCTTGTCGGCCGCGTGCAAGATAAACGCCCTACCTGCTGTGCTATCTCTCCAGCCCCCTCCTTTTTATAAATTTATTTATTGAATCGCCATGAGAGCAGTTACAAAGCTTTCGGATTTAAGTCTCAGTCATACAACGATGAAACACCTGTCTCTTCACCAGTGCCCATTTTCCACCACCCAAAACCCCACTATAAACCCCATCCTACACCCTCCCCCTACCTGTAGGGAAGATAATTTTCACATTACTCTCTCTCTCTACTTTAATTTCATTCAATACTTTGACCCCAGACCCACCATTATTATTTGGGATTTTACCCCAACACTCAGATCTGCCAAAAAGGCAACCATAGACAATTTGTTTTCTATTGCTGGTTATGAATAGCATATGATGCTTTGTTGCCACAGTAATGGCCATGCGATTTTGGAGTTCCGATATTTTAACAATTGAATGTGGAGGGATTTCTGCCAAAAGCTGCTGGGAACAGGCCAAGGCATGAAACCTATTCCCACGTGGGGTGGCCTAGCGCTGGTAACCTACTGCAGGGACCAGATGCATTTCTGTCAAAAGCCGCTGGGTCCTGAGATTTGTTACCGAGTCTCTTGGATCATGGCTGTTAAGCAGCTTGATCAGGAACCAGAGAGGCTGTTCATGGGCAGTGACTCGGGGTCTCATTGGGGTGGGGAGGAAAGGGCCAGCTCCACCCCCATCCCATAAGGCCCCTCATGTCTCATCACTGCAGGCTCAAACTTGACTGTCCAATGACCTCTGGAAGATGGCGGCCACTGAGCCACCAAGGGGGAGCAGGACAGCATCCTTTCCCCCTTGAGGTGCCCTGGTGCTGATAACCTACTGTGGGAACTGGACTCATTTCTGCCAAAAGCCTCTGGGTTCTGAGATTTGTTTCTGAGTCTCTGGGATCATGGCCATTAAGCAGCTTGATCAGGAGCCAGAGAGGCCATGCCTCCAATTATATAGCTGAGCCGGAGGTAGTTTGTGGGTCTCCCATGTACCAAACTTTTGGCCGTTTACTTTCTTGGTAAACTTGGCCCCAAGTGGTTGGGGTCTGGCCAAAGGCACAGCAGCAATTTTGGGGTATCTAGAAGTCTGAAGGCACCATAAGGCTGCTGATGCTCTCGCCTCACAGGTACAGATTGATCTGCTGGCAACATCATACCCCCTTCCAGATCTTAATCATAAGAATTAAACAGATAAAATTCTGCTCATCTTTTTATTTGCATATTTGTTTAATTCAACACCTCACTAAACCAACTACTTAAAAAGTTCTGACTTTACTGTGCATATAAACAGGTTTGTTTGGTTGGTTTTTTTTTTATGATACTTAGATGTGGTAGAGGTGGCATAATTTGGCACTATTAATACAAAGTGTGAACCACACACATCATGGTTGAACTGTTTGGAGTGAATCTTGCACTACATGTATTTTTAAGTGTCACAGTCATCTGATGTGAATTTGTAGTAAAAAAAAAAAAGCAGAAGCAGGTGCTGAATAAAGGAAGTGTTTGTCTATTTTAGGTCCTTCAGAATATGGTGCATTGTGCAGACCTGAGCAACCCAACCAAGCCGCTCCAGCTGTACCGTCAGTGGACTGACCGCATAATGGAGGAATTCTTCCGCCAGGGAGACAGAGAGCGGGAGCGGGGCATGGAGATAAGTCCCATGTGTGACAAGCACAACGCCTCTGTGGAAAAATCACAGGTGAGTCACCAAGAGTAAGGCTTTCAGAAAGAACGCAGCTGAAGCTTATTTGAACAATCGATTGTGTAGTACGCACACCATAGTTTTTCATTCTGTTAAAATCATTAAAAATGATCCTGTTTTTGACAAGTTCAGTTTCATATTATTATTTATAAACCGAAAACTCTTTCTTACTCTTTTGTTGTTGTTCGGTGTGGGGACCACAGCCAGATTCCTAGTTGTGCTGTGGGGAGAGGGGGAGGGTTGGCAGGGACTGTGAGGTTCAGCAGCTCACAACCAGGACCTTGCACATGAAAGGCATGTACACTATCATCTGGATCAGAGCCACCTCTCTGGTCCAAATCACTTTTTTTTTAATTGAATAGCCGTGAGATAGAGCATTACAAAGCTGTTATCATTGGGTTTTACTCATACAGTGTTCCCCCCGACTGCCTCTATTTTCTCTCTCTCTCTCTCTCTCTCTCTCTCTCTCTCTCTCTCTCTCTCTCTCTCTCTCTCTCTCTCTCTCTCTCTCTCTCTCCCTCTCTGTTTTTTTTGCTCATTTTAGGTATTGTGATTTGCAATACAAATACTGAAAGGTTATCATGTACATCCCTTACCTACTTTCAATACTCAGTTCTTATCCAGAGTGGTCATTTCCAGCTAATATTGTCAAAATGGACCCTCTATCTTAACTACCCTTGTAATTTCCAACCATTGACCAGTCCTCCTAGTCCATTTTCCCTGGCCTTGGCTATTTATTTCATACTTTTTTTTTAAATGTTGCACAAATAAATGCAGTCCTTCTATATCTGTCTCTCTCCTTGACTCATTTCACTCAGTGTGATACTCTTCAAGTTCATCCATGTGTGGACAAATTTCATGACCTCATTATTCCAAACAGCTATTAGTATTCCATTTTGTCAGTGTATCATACTTTCTTTATCCAGTTGTCTGTTCTCTGGCACTCAGGTTGCAGAACTCTTTCATCTTTGTGATTTATATTTGTATAGTCATATATGCATTCTTACAGCACACCATATGCCTTCATTTTGACTATGTTGTATTCATGTATATATAATTACTTAAGTTCAGTTACATGAATTCTGTGTGGCACATAGCATATTTCCTTTGTCTAGATTTACCTATAAATTGGCTGCGTGGCGGGGGTGGGGTTGGGGGGGCTGGAGGTTGGGGAGGGGATATGTCCCAGGCAGTGCTCAGGGGACCGGGGGGCTACTCTGAGACATAGCTAGTAGGCTAGTTGTTCATTACTAGCATCCAAGGATTTGATGTTCTTTAGGCCAAGCTCTGCTGGTGCCTCCAGGGTTGTACCAAGTGATGCCCCAGAGAACATGGGGTGCCAGGGATCAAACCAGGGTTACCTCCATATGCCTTTCATGTGTCCTATCCATTCTATTTCTCCATCTCCTAAACTAGTTATTCTAAAATAAAGTTCAGGACTACCATAAATATACTCTTGAACTAATAGTTTAAGAAGCTCATTTTCACCAGCTAGTAACAAAACTTTTATATCATCTGTTTTCTAAAATAGTGACTCTTACCAAAATAAAGTTAGCTATTATTTACTTGATATTAAGTTTGTGGACTGTGTTTTAGCATATGTGTATATCTGTGGATTTTGTTCACTTTTCCATCATTCCTTGGTCCCTATAACTTTTCCCCATCATTTCTTTGTCCTTAACCTGTACTCAAATCAGATTTTTTTTTCCCCCACTAGGTGGGCTTCATAGACTATATTGTTCACCCTCTCTGGGAGACATGGGCAGACCTAGTACATCCTGATGCCCAGGACATTTTGGACACTTTGGAGGACAATCGTGAGTGGTATCAGAGCACAATTCCTCAGAGCCCCTCTCCAGCGCCTGATGACCCGGAGGAGGGCCGGCAGGGCCAGACGGATAAGTTCCAGTTTGAACTGACTTTAGAGGAAGATGGTGAGTCAGACACCGAAAAAGACTGTGGAAGTCAGGTGGAGGAAGACACCAGCTGCAGTGACTCCAAGACTCTCTGTACTCAAGACTCGGAGTCGACTGAGATTCCTCTTGACGAACAGGTGGAAGAGGAGGCAGTTGGGGAGGAGGAGGAATGCCATCCTGAAGCCAGTGTCGTAGAAGATCATTCTCCTGACACGTAACAGTACAAAGTCATTCACCTCCCCCAACCCCTGCCCCCTTTTTTTTAAGTAGAAAAATTGTTTCCAAAGTGCATGTCACATGCCACAACCGTAGTCACACCTCACTGTCATCTGCCAGGACGTTTGTTGAACAAAACTGACCTTGACTACTCAGTCTGGCGCTCAGGAATATCGTAACCTGTTTTTCACCTCCACGTCATCGGAGTGAAGGGGATATCTTCATGAACAGCATTTGAACTTGATTGCAGCTCAGTAGAGCTGACATAGCAGAGAAATCAACTCCCAAAGGTTTTCCAGCGAGAGTGGCTCATCCAGCAGCTCAAAAAGTGATAGGATTTGGGATTTCTCTTCTTTCTATTTGTTTGCGATATTTCCAACATAAAGAAGGCATTATGCAGATTGAAGTAAGGGATGAAACAGCAGATGGGTCAGGAACAGGACAAGGGTGAAACTGTTACCAGGAGGAAGATGAGCCACAGAAATTGCATAATTTTCTAATTTCAAGTCTTCCTGATACATGACTGAATAGTGTGGTTCAGTGAGCCAACACTGACCTCTACATTTTGTATGATATGTGAAACAGATTTTTTGTAGAGCTTACTTTTATTATTAAATGTATTGAGGTATTATATTTAAAAAACTATGTTCAGAACTTCATCTGCCACTGGTTATTTTTTTCTAAGGAGTAACTTGCAAGTTTTCAGTACAAACCTGTGCTACACTGGATAAATCTAATTTATGAATTTTACTTGCACCTAAGAGTTCATAGCAATTAACTGATTTGTAGTGATTCATTGTTTTATATACCAATGACTTCCACATTTTAAAACAAAAAACTTATGTTGCAGGAAACCCTTTTTTGTAGGACTTCGTTTACTTTGCTTTTTATTTGACTCTTCAGATATGCAGAGTTGCTCTCCACTCACATTTCTCTTCATGGTGTGCAAAGTGAACATTTGTTTCGTAATAGTTCAGTGTGTGTTCTGTCTAATGTGTCTTAAAACCTAATGGACACTCAATCATCAGTTGGTGTTGTCTGAAGCAAGTGAGAGATATATAAATACCCAATAGCTAGAATGGTCAGTCTTTTTTAGATCTTTTCCTACCTAGTGTCTTCTGATAACTTTTTGCTGTGTCTATAGATCCTCATCTCACAAATGCATGTCTTTGTAATAACCCGCACATTTCAGCTCATTTTCATGGGTTTTTGCAGTCAGTTACAGTAAGGATAACTTTTTCCCCGTTGTGCTGCTTTATTATTTTAGTGTTTGAGCCTCTGTCCACATTCTCTAGATGGGGTCTTATCAAATATATCACCACCATTCTGATTGTTGAAGAAACAGGTAGTCAAATTAGGGTTAGCATTCATTTTTACCATGAAATCATATATAAAATGACTACCTTTTTACTCTTGGTTTACAAAGAAAAGTTAACTAGCTAGCTAGGCAGTTTCTGAAAATATTGGCAGAATATATTAACAAAAACACCAATACCGTTCTTTTTTGTTTCTGTGACTTCACTATGAGATTAAGATCTTTGTAAGGAATACTCGAGAAGTGTTATTAAGAGTAGCAACTAATCTTTCTTAATGGATAGCCACATTCACAGAACTGTACTATCAGTTCTCATTGGTCCATAGCATGTCTTACAAAGGAGAATTTCTTTAAATTTCTTTAAATACAATGAGAGGAAGAAGTTGATGATGCCACTTGTACCAGAGGTTTTGGTAATATAATGTCCTAGGACACCAGATTGAGTCAAGATTCTGTTTAAATACAGATCACCTAGGCCTGGAGATGTAGCTCACACATGCTGTCACGCTCTCTTCCTTACCTCATTGCTATGCTACCACCTTTTCCTCTCTCTCTCTCTCTCTCTCTCTCTCTCTCTCTCTCTCTCTCTCTCTCTCTCTCTCTCACACACACACACACACAGACACACACAGAAAAATTGCAGCTCATTTTTGGTTAAATTTAGCACCAAGAATAGAATTTATAATTCTAGATACTCATTCCTAGTATTTACCTTCAGTTGTAATCTTGAGGTGTTGTATTAATTCGGTGTTTATTCCCATCCAACTCTTAAAATTAATGTCTCTTTTATGAGGAGTCTGAACTCCACATGGTCATTATTCATATACTGTCCATGAATCGAAATGCAGACTACAGAACGGGGATATATCAGCACATGGAAAATATAAACAAAAAGAATTGTAACCCTGAAAAATATTTATAATCAGGCTATCTCATAGAAATAGCCCTAAGGGTAAGTTCCTATTTTAATCCTCTGAGATCTGCTAATGTTTAAAACCTTTGGTAAAATTATGTTATCACTGGTCTTGTTCCTAGAACAGGATAGTAATCAACTAAAACAGATTTTCTCCTGTAAAAATCAGTACTTTTTAAGGCTGGAGTGATACCACAGCGGGTAAGGCTTTTGCCTTGCTCCTGGCCAACCCGGGTTCGAGTCCCAGCATCCCATATAGTCCCCTGAGCACTTTCAGGAGTAATTCCTGAGTGCAAAGTCAGGAGTAACCCTTGAGCATCGCGGAGTGTGACCCAAAAAGGAAAAATAATCAGTACTTTTTAAAATTAAGGCCAGGTGGTTTCACAAGAATACTTGGAAACTTATTTGTTTTGATTGTATTTGTCTCTGGTGGAGGTCTAGAAGAAACAACAAAGAATCTAAGGTTTATTCCTTTTCCAAAATACTGTCATTCTCTCCTATCTCTGACACTTGGCATTTCCCACATAGAGTGCCTAGAATCTTAATATAAACAATTAAAAGCAATATGTCACAAATGCAGGACTGATATGGTTTATAACTACACTAAAAAGGTTTTTTTTTTTTCCCCTTCCCCTCCGTTTTGGTTTTTAATGGTAACGTGTTATGAAGATTCTCACTAATGGACAATCAAATTGTAGTAAAGTCATAATATTCTAGAGACAGGGACTGATGCACTGTACAATCCACTTAAGACACCCACCCACTTCCCTCCCTCTCTTTCTCCCATCTCTCGCCAAAGTGTGCTTCACAATTAATACAGTGTTTCAAGAACATCCTCTTTACAGTGTCTTTACATTTCTTAAAATGCCATAAGAAAATGCAATATCTGGGTACTGTATGTGGGGGGAAAAAAAGTCCAAGTTTGCATAAAACCAGTACATCTAGCTTGCAAGTTACTAACACAATAATGCTATTTTAATTTTCTTTTCTTTTACATCACTTCATGTTCACAAGAAAATAATGTAGATAGAACAAATCACAGACAAGGAAAAAAACTTGAATGAAATGGGTTTTACAGAAAGCTTTATGATAATTTTTGAGTGCATTATTTATTTTTTGTGCCATGCATTTCTTTTCTCACCAAATGACCTTACCTATAATACAGTCTTGTTTGTCTGTTTACAACCATGTATTTATTGTAATGTACATATTGTAATGTTAATTGTAAATTATAAGTTCTTATTAAAACATCCCATAAGGGGATGGTGTTGATATATTTGGGAACTCTTGGTGAGAGAATGAATGGTGTGTATACATACTCCTTGTATATTTTATTTTCTCCTGTAATATAGTCTTGTCACCTTAGAGCTTGTTTATGGGAGATTCAAGAAAACTATAAAATACGTAAAGATATATAAATTTAAAAAACATAGCTGCAGGTCTTTGGTCCCAGGGCTGTGCCTTAACTTTAACCAATATTTTCTGTTTTGCTGCATTTGAAAGCAAGATAACAGTGGGGTTAGGGCTGGGCATTTTACCTCTGAGCTTTGACTTGTTTGGATTTTATAGAACTACAGACAACCTTGGGAAGATCCCAAGACTGAGCTCTTGGGTATGCTTCTTGGAAAGGAACGTTGCATATATAATGATGTTTCCCCATCTGTGATCAGGAACCACTTCAGTTTACTTACATTTGATTTTTATTCACTGTCAAACACTACCGGGAAAATAGATTATTGATTGGTGATTATAAAAAAATCCTTTTGGCTACTAGAGCCAGAGATCACCTGTGTGGTTGGGTCCTTTGTTCATCAGCCCCCTGACCTGTGAAAGAAAAGCTCATTCACACAGGCATGGTTCTTCATCAAGAATCAGTCAATCCTCTTGGACATAAATCCATATTTTTAAATACAAGGTTATGTTTAATGCTAATTTACATAACAAAATTTCCATTTTTCAGAATTTGTTTCTGCAAAGTTTTTATCAGTTTAGAATTTTAAAAATTTAAGCTTGTAGAATCAACAGATCTCCAAAACTGAAAATTTCCCAGTGGGTGTTATGGATCCTCCCACTGCTGCCCAGCCCTTCAAATACAGAGTGGAGGGAGAGAGCCTTTTTCTAGGTAAAATGAGCCTCTTATTATTTTGGGGTTTTTTGTTTGTTTGTTTGTTTGTTTGACACAAACTGTAGATTTAAGCAGCCCTGGCCCAAAGGAATTTGATTACTTTTGTTTTAAACAGTACAAAGGGGACACTAATTACAAACATCCTTACCGATTTTAGTTTTTAAATTTATTTCTTTGGAACTGTTTTCAGAGTGGTAAATTGTGTGTAAGCATAACAAATGATTCTTTTAGTGGTTTCTTAGCCTCTTACAGCCCATGGGGATAGTACTGTACATCAATACCTTCATATGAAATTTTTATATGCAATGAAAATAAAAGCATGGGTTGATTCTGCCTATTTCTGACTCAAATCTTTTACAATAAAAGAAGTATTTGAAGTTATAACTCAGCATAAGTTTTTTAGATTATAGAATATTACTTAATGAGATAGTGACATCATTAATATCAATATTCATAAACAGCATAGTGGTCAGATTTCTCTGTTTAAACTAGTAAGTATTCTGTAATATGACAATTACCATTTGAACATTCTGCATCAGATTTTTGGTTTCTATTCTTTATAACAGGTTCCTTGTATTCAGCAGTAAGACACAAGTCTTTCTTCCTGGGCTTCTGGAGGGGAACAAAGGCGATTCCATAGATGTTCTCATTAGTGTGTTTGGCAAAGCAGTGCTGATGCTGTAATTCAGGGGACATCTAAGCTTGCTCCCTTGCAGGGGCCCAAGCAGAGGTTTTCTTAGGGAAGTCAATTGAGACTGAGCTTGAAGGATAGGAAAATAGTCCACATGGGAAACTTAGAGTAATCTTAAGTTGCAAATAAGATTCAGACCTCAATTGGAAGGAACACCTTTGTTGCCTCACTCATTTCCCCCAAAACTTGCACAAGCTCTGTACCTTTATAATGTTTGCCATGAATTGACAAGCATTATAATCGCCCTCTTTCCTAGGAACCAGGAAGTGTTAATCATTCGCTGAATATAATTACCAAACTGTGATCTTTATCTAATGAGACTTTAAAAAATTATTAAGATACTGATTTACAAAGTTATTCATACTTGAGTTTCAGTCACACAATATTCCATTTCCATCACCAGTGTCAACTTCCCTCCACCAATGTTTCCAGATTCCCCACCCCCAGCCTACCTCCTTGACAGGCACATTTTTTAATTTTGGTGGTTATTGTTATTGATCCTGTGGTTTAGATATATACAGAAACCTTATCTCTTCACCACTGGTGTGCCCAAGGCCTCTAACCCCTGCCCTGTTAACTTCAACATGCCTCTTAACCCCTTTGATTTCTTTCCTTCCCTGTCCTCGGTCCTATAATCCAGAGACTGGGGTAATCTAGGTATCCTCACAAGTTTCGAGTTTCTGTTCTTTGGTTTTAATTTTGTTCACGTGTTGGAGCTTGCAATGATCCTGGATGAAGAGAGTTTCCTATCATTCCTAACAAATATGTCTGCATCTTCAAAATTCTACCTTTTTTACTGAATGATCCACCCAAGATGCATTTTTTATGATTAAGAGACCAAAGACATTAGCAAAATCTTCAAACATTAGCAGATAGATTAAGAATACTCAGAATATTTTTATTAAATAGCTAGATCTATACTTAGGCTCTTCGCTATTTTTCTCTACATCACAAAGGCCAGCAGCTATGGTTCCCAGGTTGTGTCTCCAGGGAAATTTTGATCTTAACCTAAATTACCTTCCCCCAGAATGAGACTATGGGACAAAGGAACCATTTTCTTTTCTCCACTGTTCTATCATGTTGATTTAGAACAATTTCAAATGTGTTGAGGATTAGAGTTGTCTTTGCGTCTGTCTGCTTCTGCTGTCTACCCTGCAAAAATTCTGACTATATTTAAAATGGAAAGAAAGATAAGGGACTAACCATAGATTATATAATCATTAACATTAAAATTAACATTAAAATTAACATTCTCTTATTGTTTGATAACACTCAGATTCAGTGATGTGCACTAAACTTGGGGAGATAGGCCCTCCCGTTGATCGTCGATTTGCTCGAACGGGCCCAGTAACGTCTCCATTGGAGACTTTGTTGTTACTGTGTCTGGCATATCAAATACTCTCGGTAGCTTGCCAGGCTCTCCAAGAGGGGCGGAGGAATCAAACTCGGGTCGGCCATGTTGGGGAGATAGAGACAGAAATCCAGCTTCCAGATGGATTTCACCAGGCCCTCCTGGTCCTTGATAGAGAGGAAGCTACCGACTCCTCCTTACATATCCTTGCTCACAATTCCATCTCTGAGCAGCTCTTCTCTAATTTCATCTAGTTGTTTCAAGGACAAGAGTCAGCATTTGGGAATCATCTGTAAAACAAGCTTCATGCTTTATCACTGCTACGTGCCCCCAACCCCCAAGACCCTACTATATTCCACAAATGGTGTCATGCTGGACTCCATTGGCAGCTAGGAAAAATGAAGTGTAAGCAGTTTGGTTCGTTGGCTTGGCCAAGAGTTTTCATAGGGCCAACACCAAGACTGACCATCCGAAAACTACAGATTGGGCATTGATTCAGTCACCATTTTGATATCCTATTTGTGTGGGCCTCCTGACAGCTGGGCTGCCTTTGATTTGTTTATCACTTTTTTAGCAGATGATAACCATTTATACAGTGCATAGCTAGGTGAGGTTTATTGACTTCTCCACCCATTTATATATATATATATATAGCTACAGGGTCATAATTGCTACAAGGTCATGATTCTCCACAAGGAAGAGACCTGTTGACAGAATAGGAGCTAGGATCGGTATGTACTTCCATCTAGCAAGGCAAGCTGAGGCCAAGGAGACTGCTGGGTGTCTGCCAGGTCAGCTTCTAGGAGGGATCCCCTGACCCCTTACATCAGATCTGTTGAGACGAATCCTTAGCCTCCAGATTTGGATATTTCAAGATCTGAACTGTGAAAATGTATTCCTGTGAAGAAACTCGGTTGTCTAAAAAGCTCTGAGTTTTGTTGTTTTGTTTTGTTTGGGGGTGGGGTGGGGTTTTGGGTTTATCATCGTTGTTTTGTTTTCTTGTTTGAGGTAAGGTGGTTTTTTTGGGTTTTTCGGTTTGTGGTTTGTTCTTCTTTTTTTTTTTTTTCAGACCAGCTAGGATTTTAATTGCTATTTTGTAATCTGAGGGTAGATTTGCTGGGTCTCAAGGGAATATTTGCTTGACTCCTGAGGAGGAACAGGGTCAGGAAGGGAATGTCTAAACCCCCAAATAGAACAAGATACCAGGATATTCATGGGGGCATCTCAGAGCACTCCTGTTGGGGGAGAACAGTTCCTTCCCCCTCTGAAACATGATCTCGAGACACAAAGCAGGTTAAATGTCTAGATGTAAACACTCAGTGTCCAATGGTGCTTCATGCTGCTCTGCCACCTGGCTGTATTAATTTAAGAACGAAGCTGTCTCTCACTCTGTAGCCTCCTAACACTTTGCTCATTTTCTCCCTGTGCCGACAGTTTTCTGGTTGGTTTCGTTTTGTTTTCCATTCAGTTCTGAAAGAGAGCCAGCCAGTCAGCCATTCCACCTTGAGTCAGAGGAAGTTTGAGGCTGGAAACCCTTTTCCATGAGGATTGGTGAAGAGCAACTTTTTAATCTCACTTGAAAATTCTCTTCAATAAATATTCATCATTTAGTTGCACTGCTGGGATTGAACTCAGGGCCTCACACATGCAGGACAAGCACTGTACTGCAGAGCCACATCCTGGGCCCTGTCTTTGTATGACTTTCAGCTTTCAAACTATGGAAGAGTGTGATACTAGGCCCTTCAGTATGGCCTAGTATCTGAAATCCAGCTTCCAGATGGATTTCACCAGGCCCTCCTGGTCCTTGATAGAGAGGAAGCTACCGACTCCTCCTTACATATCCTTGCTCACAATTCCATCTCTGAGCAGCTCTTCTCTAATTTCATCTAGTTGTTGATCATGCTGGACTCCATTGGCAGCTAGGAAAAATGAAGTGTAAGCAGTTTGGTTCGTTGGCTTGGCCAAGAGTTTTCATAGGGCCAACACCAAGACTGACCATCCGAAAACTACAACATGACCAGGTCTGATCACCAAGACATCGCCTGCACTGCTAGGCAGTGGGCCCCTCCCCACAGCACCACTGAGGAGGCCTCCCCACCAAAATCCTTTTCAGTGTCTTATAGATTTCAGCCAAGACAAATAGTAAACATTCCTAGCAATAATTGAATGAGGCTTTAGAGCTCCTACATTCCTGAACTAGGGGCCATATGACCTGCTAGATGTCCTTAAGATATTCCAAAAAGGCAACAGGTGAAAATTGCATAGATGAGGGGTCCATGGTATGTGACTAGGGGAATAGCTAGTAGGACAGGGAACCACAGGAAGGAAACAAGATCAGAAGGGGGCCATGTTTGGAAAATGATTGAGAAACTGTCAGAAGTAAAGCACAGAGAAAACTAATTTCCCCAAACCCATTACCTTTTGTAATTATTTTTTATAAGCGCAACATTGAGGAGAGATGGAGGTGGTGGTGGTGGTGGTGGGATAGTGGGCCAGTGACTCTGAGAGTGCTGGGCTGGGCTGGGCAAGAGGGAGGCAGGGGTGCTATGTACCACTTGTTAACTCTTCAGTCCCCAGACATTCTTAAAGAGCCCCCCCTTACCACCCCTCCCCCCCAAAAGATAACATATTTAAGAGCCTGCTGGCTAAACCATATTTAGCAAATGGGCTCAGTGGCTCAGTGCATGCTTTCCATGTCAGAGGCCTGGATTCAGTCCCCAGCACCACAAGGACAGCACCAAGGACAGAGGTAGGAGTGGACCCTGTGCTCACTGTCAAAAAACACACAAAGGGCTGGAGCAATAGCACAGCAGGTAGGCCGTTTGCATTACATGTGGCCGACCCGGGTTTGATTCCCAGCATCCCATATAGTCCCCCAAGCATTGCTGGGGGTAGTTCCTGAGTGCAGAGCCAGGAGCAACCCCTGAGCATCGCTGGGTGTGACGCCCCCCCCGAACCCCCGAAAAAAAAACACAAAAAATAGGACAAAAAGTAATAAAGGGGGAGAAAAAAGAAAGAAAACCAGATGTAGCCAATTCCCCTGATTGCTGGGCCCTCTCCATAAGGCCCTAATGAATGCAACCCACGTTTTCACGTGGCCATATTTATTGACAAGTAGGGGGCAACTCATTCTGGGGTTCCCAGCCTGATGACCAAGTTGTCTGCATGTGCAAGAATGGATAGCCTGTGGGGTGTGCCTGAGGTGGGCAGCAAGCCACGCCAAGTGCTCCGGACACAAAATGAGACAACAGAAGAGGAAGTTGTTGTGAGAAAGGCTGCAAGGGCAATGGGATCC